TTCCGGTTACCGGGGTCTAACCGAAACAAGGGGGGAGAAAGTGACATCGCAACCTCCTCCTTCTGGATCAAAGCCATCCGCTGGACCATCTGCTAGACCGAAGGGTAATAAAGCTTCGGTTAGCAACAAAGACAAAAAGAAGAAGAAAATCGGCGATGACGACACAGACAATGAAGAAGATGTCTATGCTGAAAATCCAAAGAATCCCTTCCAGAAGGTTAAAACTTCTGAAAAAGAAATGGAAGAAAACATCAAGAAGCAGCAAGTTGAGCTGGAGATGAAGCGAAAAGAGGCAGAGCTCTTAGAGAAGAAAAAGTCTATGTTCCCTTTATGGACAAAAGACTCGCTGCAGAGGTGTGTAATCGACAAGCCAATTGTTCTCTGGCTCGAGCCAATAATGTCCCTCTCTCTTGACAACTCCAAGGATGCAAAGTTCGACATGCCTATCACTTGAAAGGCATTCATCTTCCACTGCTTCAACTCGACTGTTGTTATTCCTTCTCCAGACCCGAAGGTAGATAGGGATCTTCTGGAGTTTTACTTGGAGTTTTCTCAACCCCAATACCTGACCTGGAGCTTAAAGAAGATAACTAAAGTTAAGGTGATGAAGCCCTATTCAGCAGGGAAATTTATTAATGTCAAATTCAGGGTGACTCGAGGAACCGAAGGCTCAGTCTACCATTTTTCCCTTGATGATCTACCAAACCTCAACCCCCATGACTGGATACTCCTCAACAACATTCTTCTATTAAACCCTCAGGAGTATCAGCCAATAATCGATCATGTCAAGCATATGCTTGTTTGCTACATTCATGAGGTAGCGAAGATGGACCAGGAGATTTCCTCTGCCATACACAAGCGACCAACGATCAAGACCATGGGCATATCTGGAAATGTTAATACCATGATCCAGGGGAAGATAGATTCACAGTATCACACGGTTATGTTTCTCAGGGGCGAAGGTCAAAAATGTATGTTCGCTCTTGTTGATAAACACCTCTTCTCGACGTCTTGTCTTGAGCATATCTTGGAGATCATACAGAGGTGCGACCAGAACAGTGCTACTGATAAGAAACTATTTGTTGACATGCTGAGGTGGTACATTGGGTTCCGACAGACTCTTTTTGCCATTATTTCTAAACTGTTTAAAGTTATAAAGACAGTGAGGCCTGCTCAGAAGAAATAATCTCTCGCCTCATTTGACGCAAAGTGGGAGATTGTTGAGTCTATTGGGTTGCATCATGGGCTCGGTCCATAGCCTAGTTTGAATGTCGGTATTGGGCCTGTCTAGTCGTGCATAATTTTGTATTAGGGTTTAGTATATAAGTTGCATGCATGCAGACTTAGAGATTATCACTTTCATTGTTTTTATTTCATATCAACTGTAAACCCTAGCTCGCCTCTACAACGGAAGTTCTTCATCGAGCTATGCTGAGGCGTGAATTTGTTTTGAATCATAAGCATAAGTTTGATTTTGTTTTGTGTTCTTTCACATATTGATCTTAAACTGTTTGATTACTTTTATCGTACTTGTGAAAGATCTAATCGATCTAAGAGTTTTTGAACTCATCAATTATTCTTTTAACATATAATACTTTTCTATTAATTTCTTTTGATTTTTTTTTTATAATTTTAATTCATTTTATTGGATCATTATATATATATATATATATATATATATATATATATATATATATATATATATATATAAAATATCATTTTCTTATATTAATAATTTATAACGTATAATATTAATTTATTTTAATTTTATTGGTTCCACCACAAAGTCATCTGAATTTTCAAAAGTGTCATGTCTCATCGTCGAAAATCGACAGGACAACCGCCAATCACCTTCATCGATTGTTCCGTAGAAACTCCACCAATTTGTTACACCCAATACCGCCAATAGCCACCTAAGACAACCTTATCTAATCTGTCGAAATCCTCTATATCTGTCACTAAGCCGAACATATTTTGCTACAACCACCAAGAGATCAGATCAATACACTCCTAGTCTGCTCCTCCTACAGTCAGCCATTCTCGACAAAAACTACACCGGTCGACTACCCAAACAATGTGCAATAAACCCCATAAAACATATAACCTCCGGTCGACCATTCATTATCGATGGCGAAAATGTTAGATCGAGGGTTTTCAAACCACCATAGCCACTACAGGTGGTGACAATGTTGTAGAACTCGTTATTCGGTACTCGTCTGGCCGATTACTGAGTAGCAGGTACTCGGATTTGGTAATTAATGTAGAAATATTTTTAGAGAAATTATATATGTCAAAATCATAAGTTAAAATCATAATTTTATTGAAATATATAACCAATTTAGATACATGTGAGTATACAAAAACTAAAATAAACATGATGATTCAGTGATGTTGGTGTTGGCGACTGATTGATAGTGGTGGTGTTATCCAAAATATGTTATCTTCTAAATATTTAAAATAAATTAAGAGAGGTGGGGTGGGTGAGATTTTTTTGGTATTTTTATTTAAAACAATAAAGAAAACAATTTTAAAAAATAAAAACAATTAAAAAAATATATTTATTATAAATAGAAATAATAAATTTAAAGTAATAATCCAATAAAAAAATTAACGCAATAAAAAAATTAAAAATTTTAATTAAATGAAGTTAATAATTCAACAAAGTAACACTTACTAATAGATAAATATTGTATATAAAAAATAATATTCATTATTATATAATAATTCAATAAAATGAATTAATCCAATAAAGAAGAAATTCAAAAAATTTAATTAAAAAAAAGTAATAATCAAAGTAATATTTATTAATATATAAATATAATACATTAAAAATTATATTTATTAATATATAATAATCCAATAAAAAAAATACAATAAGAGTAGTTAAAAAAGAATTAATTAAAAGAATTCAATAAATTGGAAAAGAAAATTGCATAATTGGTCCTTCTAGTTTGGTAAAAAAATTTGTAGAAATGGTCTTTGGAAGTAGATTCATCATTTGCCAAAAATTAACGGTCATGTTGTTAAACTAAACGAGATAGGAACCAAACCACAACAAAGCTACAAAGTAGGGACCTTTTTTCCTAAAAAAAAAATTGGACTTATCCAAATAAATTGACAAACCATAGAACCAATTTTGCAATTTTGTCTCATTTTTATAATAAATTTATAAATTATTTTATTAAAAAGACTAAACAAATAAGATATTTTTATGTACTTGTTTAGTTTAATATATAAAATAATAAAAGTAATAAAAAAAAATTATCCTCTTTACAAAGAGATCCAATATGATATATAAAAAATGAATTTTTTTTTTCGAAAAAAACTAATTCATTTCATTTGTTGAAAAGTTAAGCTCTATTTTTTATAGAAAACAAATTAAATAAATATATTAAAATTCATGTTTTTTTTAATATTTTTTAAACATAGATTCATATTCATATAAAAAATGTTATTTTAGTTCAGATTCACATTGTGAACTTGTTTAAATTCATATTGTGAACCTGTTCAAATTCACACTGTGCATAATAGTAATTAAGATTCACAGTGTGAATTTGAAATGATCGAGCTTTTTCACATTGTGAATGTTGATAATTGAGATATTTACAGTTTAGATTCACAGTGTGAATCTACACCAATCAAGATTTTTTTTTTAAACATTATCCAATTCACAGTGTGCATAATAGTAAGTCAGATTCACAATGTAAATCTGAACTTATCGAGCTTTTTCACATAGTAAATGTTAAAAATTGAAATATTTACAGTTTAGATTCACAGTATGAATCTACAGTATTCGAGTTGTTTTTTAGTTTGTGTTGATATTTATTAATAGAATACAAAAAACTAATATTGTTTGTATAGTTAGTTTTTTTTTTTATAAAAATAAACTTAAATATTGAAAAAACTAAAAATGAAGTGGGTTTTTTCGGAAAAAAAAATTATTTTTTATATTTCAACATAGATCTCTATGGAAAGATGACGAAAAAGCGAGAACAAGGATATATTCAATTTTTTTTTTTTTTTTTTTTTTGATAAAAGATATGGCCTAAAAAAAATTTAAAGGAAAAAAAGATATGAGTTTTTTTGGTAAAGAGGTGGATTTTTTAATATAATCTGGTGTGTATGTGTCCAATATAAAAGTGTACATTTATTTCTTTGGTCGTTGATCATTATGATTTCCGATGCTCACGATTGGTTCCGTATTTCCTTGTTAACATTAAAGGTTATTTGGTAGACTAGATTATATGTATATTGACAAATACCACTTCTAATTTTCTAGTTTGACTAGTTGGTCCGCTACAACATTCATTACATATGATACAAATTGTTGAAACAGTTGCGAAAATCCATCAACTTTGATAGCCTGACTTTAGTGGAATGTAACACATTCAATACATAACCAAAAATAATAATACTATTGTCCAAATTGAAATACAATTTATAAACTACATGTAAAAGATATCATGTCAATCCAACTTCAAGCAAACAAATGATATTATTTTTAAAAGTTTCAAAGATTACAAATAAAAAATTGGTCCAAACCGCTTCAATACCCTGAGAACCTAGCTAATAAACTGGAGTTGGAACATAGCTGAGAGAATAACCGAAAACTGGATCTATCACGTAAAATCGGTGCCACTCCATGTCCGGGTCCTGATCCGGTCCAAATGTTCACCTCTACCTACATATGTTGTCGTTGTTGATGGCGTCAAAAGATTCCATATAATAGGCTTTATAATTACAACAAATCGTTCGCTACTTGTGTACTGCTATTTTTGGAATACATGTCATCCTTCTACAACAAGTAATAATCAATTTACGACTTTTTTGAATTTAAGTGTTTATTACTACTATGACATATCGTCACAACTTTGTTATCTACAACGGTGACTTTTCAGCATCCCGAAAGTTTCTCCAATAATGTCCATAGCGACGACATCTCGTTGCTGAGCACAAAAACTAAAGTACATACAATACAAAAAAATAATAATAAAAAGATCCTTTTTCCAAAATGTGGGTTTAATATTAGCTTTGATGAACAACCAACTGGAATATAAAAAACAGATTAAAAAAATAATAAATAACGTAACCACCCAGAAACACAATTAATATCAAATCCCTTTCATTTTTTTTTTCTTTTCTTTTTAAAACACCCAAATCCAACGAAACACTTAAAAAAGAAAAATCGTTCTTCCTTTGGTTACATTCTCACCTCAACAACCCTATATAGCTATCTAGTCTTTAACACAAAACCCAAGACTGAAGTTCGCGTGGTTCATCTTTTTACAATGAAGATCTTTTGGTTTTTGGTCTTTTGGATAAGTTTACTGGAGTAACGTAGCTTAGCTAGGTTTGGGTTATATAGGCTTGTGCTAGGTAGGGGTGGTTGACTGGGTGGTATGGCTCTCACGTGACAATTCAAGATAGAGTGGTATTGTAGCCATTCTTATGCAGCCACGTTTGAGCATGAGGTGGGGCTGGTGGTTGTCTTAAATTGAATCTTTGTTGTGGGAATCCTGATGATGCTGCAGCACTATTTGCATACAGATGTAGAGAAGCTCCATTGCCATTGTTTCTACTTCCTCCTCCAGCTAGCGTGCTGCTTGAATGCTGAATCTACCAACATCCCATAAAGAATCATTAAAATCCACAACAAACTATTATTAATTATATAGTATAAACAATATCTTGTATATGTTTTGTAATATTATGTTTTCCTTATTGTGTGTAACATACGAAAATATTTAGGAATCGTGTGAAAAGAAAACGAAAGATGTAAACTGTCGTATGCATATGGTAAAAGCAAGATTTTTCCCACGTGACACTTATTTTTGTCTATTTTTAGGGTTAATGTCATAAATGGGTGACCAACTATTTAATTTCCACAAAACATTATGGTTTTAAAAAATAATATTAGTTTAATGGGTATGTTTTAAACAAAAGTAAATAGTTTGTTATGCATTGATGACATTAACCCTTATGATATCGAACAAGAGACATAGAGGGACTCACTTGGTGATTCAAAGAGTTGAGGGGTGGTGGGTGTAACATATGAAACATAGACGGGTCAACGGGTCTGGTTAAATGCCCATATCCATGAAATTCATGATTACCCCTCGATGATCCGATAGATCGAAGATGCAATGTGTCGTGATATCTTTCACTCTGACCCATCCCAAATGCCTTTTGTTACATAAATTATAATAAATCACTAGAAATTTATCTATTATAATTACATCAAGAAATTAAATAAAACGGATTATAACGATTAACGCACCACGGGCCTAAATCCATGATCTTGACTACCTTCCTTAGTGGGGGCTGAATTATGTCCTAAACTCAAATCAAGATTGTGATCCGAAGAGGAAATGTTACTTTGATCATTATTATTATTACCCGAATGCTCTGTATAGAAAATAAAAAAAAAATTTAATCGATATGAAATAATTTACAAAGTAAATATAAGTAAAAATAATTTGAATAAATTACCAGTGACATTAGACTCATTTTCATAAATTGTGGGATCAAAATTGGTGACAGCATCCTTTCCGTTGTATTTGATTGCAGCCTTATCATATGCCCTAAAAAAGAATACTTTCATTCATTCCCCTTAAAGTTAACAAATTGACATATTAGTCCTTTCAGAAACAAGTTAGTCATATTTACCTGGCAGCTTCAACTTCAGTATCAAAGAGGCCCAGATACACATACCTATAAGTGTGATGAAATAAAAGTGAGCCAAAAAAGGAAATATGTCAAGTGTGTTTCTTTTGAAGTGATTTAACTTGATGAAATGAATAGAAGTAGGTAGATAGGTATAGCCGTAGGCCATAGGTAGCCAGCTTTATATATAAATAGAAAAACAAGTACACCTTCTTTATAGGGTTAGTTTTGAAATAATTTCTTGTTATCAATTGTCTTATGGAAATTCGTACTTGGTTAGGGTTTAAAACATTTCATTGTAATAGATTCATAGGAATCGTTTTTTTTTTTTTTTAATGAAAGGAACACTTAATATAAATCACGTGAAGTATGGATACATATATATTAAAGGTGTTGACCAGTAAAAATTGTCTTATGAAATAAATATTATTGTGTCTGGTTTTATTATATACGTGCTATTAAAATTTATTATGAATCATGTCGATATAATATAAAAGAAAAAAAAAAACATTCGATAAATATGTGTTAAGGATAGACCTTGACTTAACAAAAGCAGCGAGATAAAAGTTTGGCTTTACAGTTGCAAATAAAACACATCCGTACAACTTTTCAAATAAATATGTTTAGTTTAAATATATATTTAAAATTTTTCATAAAATATTTTATTATCTAAGAATAAGTGATTTTATTGTTTTTGCTATTTTTCTCATTCCTATGTTGGGAATATTTGGATACTCAAATAATAGTCAAGTTCTACTATACACACAACCATATGACAAGTAAATCTTTATACTTCTTTCCTTTCAAAAAAAAAACGTATCTTTTGATTTGAAATACCACCGTTTAACAAAATACTATTATTATCAATGCCTAAACTCTAAAGTGATGCTTCATAAAGACAAATAAAAGTCGTCAACATAAAGTATTACTTATTAATAGACAGAAAAACAATTATGAACCAAAGACTTTAATTTCATAAAAGGTATATTGCACACTTCATACCAAAAAATTACGGTATTAAAAAAGTTCAAGTTATAAATCATTATTAAAGTATAAATTAATCAAAGAATTTAATTATTTTGAATTAAAAAATATCCATATACAAAATTTATCAAACGACGAACTAAATATAACTTAATTCAATATGTTGCAATACACGTGACTAAATAAAGCATATTATAAACAAAAAATATTAAATTTTGATCGTAGATTTCAAGAACAAAGTGTTGTTAGATATGATTATTTACTTTTTAAATGAAGAACAAGATTTAAAGGGAGATGAAAAGAACGTACTTTTTCCCTAAAAATTGACCCATTCTTGCTTCCCATCTACCACATTTGTGCAAAGTAACTCCTCTATATTTCGAACTCCCTCTTGGAAATCCTGTACTTTGTCTCCGTAGTACATGCACAAACTCTTCTTTCGTCAGATTGCTCATCTGTTTAATTTTTTCTTGTTTTTAAAACCCCCAAAACTCATAAAAACAAACAAAATAACTCATAAAAAGTGTGTTGTTTCATATCTTGAAACTTAATAAGAGTGATGGATATGTGTGTTTTTGGGTATGCGTTTTTACTTTAAAACAATAACAACCAGTAGAAGAAAACATGTTTTCTAGATAAGATAACGCATTATCACTGTTAAAGATAAGGTGAAAATCTGAAACACACACACTAAAAGATGAAATCACACATAGTGTATTAAACCAACCTGTTTCAGGTCGTCATCGTAATCTTGAAGGCTGAAGTTTATGTCAGCTTCCAATCCCCGAAACTTGATCGCTGCCCTATCGTATGCCCTGTTACATGTTTATTTATTTATTTTTGTTTAAAATAAATTTAATTTAATTATTTGTAAAGGAAAATGTAGGGTTTTGATTGTGCTCACCTTGCAGCTGCATGTGCAGTGTCGAATCCACCTGTGACAAAATGAACAGATATTAATATCCTTGGAATTGTGAATATTGTCCCATAAATTTTTTAACAAATTAATAGAAATATTTTTTTAAAAAAAGTTAAAAGGAAAAAAGTGAAACATACCCAGATACACCTGTTTCCCACAATCCCTGAATCATGAAAACATGAAGCTAATTAGAAAAATAAATTCGATAGAAATTAGAAAGTTTTCTGTTTAAAGAAACGAATCATTTTGTTTTGGTTTTGGTTTTGGTTTTTCAAAACTGATCCAAATCTTTTATAATAATATTGAAGTGTTTGAAGACGATTATATGATTTGTTGGTTGAAGTCAAACAAAGTTTTTTGAAAGATATAATTTATTCGAGTCAAATAATTAGAAGAAAAACTTAGAAAGGGGAAAAAGGTAAACAAACCATATGTGTGATTCCCATCGGCCGGTTCGTCGGTAAAAGGTAACTCCACGATACTGTGAGCTTCTAGAACGGGGTCCACGCCGGCTTTTCTTGAGTGGCTGGGGAATCTCCGGGGCGGCAGATTTCCCGAGAAAACCACCGGCGCTGGTGGCGCCACCAGAAACAAGCCCCCCCGGTGACTGGTGACAGAATTGAACACCGACCCAGTGAGCAGCAGGGAAAGCATTTACCGACGACATACCAACTGCAAGAGAGGAGGTGGGGCCCACTTCAGAATCGTCGTCGACGGGGAAAAACTGATGGGTTACCGGCGGATCCCCGTCGCCGTCGCCGTCGCCGTCGATAGAGAACCCAAACAACCTGCTGCTTCGTTTTCTTGAACTTCCTCTCTCGGAATCATCATCATCGGAGCCGTCGTCTTCGTCCATAACCACCACTGAGGAGCTCGAATTCGAGACGGATCCAACCCCTTTACCTTTACTATTATCGTCGTCGTCTGCTTCCACCGGCGTAGAGCAGCCGTTTGATTCTTCGTGTTCCTTTTTCAGATCGGGTGACCCGTTTAGATCCCACATTTCTCCGGCTAGAAAAGTTAAACTAAATCTATATGAAACACTAAAAAAGGAAACCGATGAACTGATCAAAAGCTCTCTCTCTCTCTCTCTCTCTCTCTCTCCCTCACTGTGTCGCTTACTCTCTCTCTACATGTGATACATACGTATACATATATATATATAACTAAAAGAAATGAAGTGTTTGTTTGTTGATCTTCTTTTTCCTTATAGCCGAGTCTAAAAAGAAGAGATGAGAAGAAGAATATGAAGAAAAAGAAACCTAGGATTCATAAAGAAAGATAGGAAGAAGGTGGGCAATAGATACATATACGTGTATCTATCTATGAAAGTATAGATTGTGGCCGGGTGACGAGGTGAGGTGGGGGTGGGGTTGGTCGCGTTATAGCTTCTCCCAGCAGCTTCTCTCTCATTAGATCTTTTCTAAGACACTCTCTCTCTCGTTATAATTATAGTAAACAAAATAATATATGTTTAAAATTAATTTTTTTTATTTACATTCTATGGAATTAAAGTAATTTTTTATTCATTATATCTAAAGTTTTAAGCAATGTGACTCATGAGTTTGACCGCAATATCACATTAAAAAAAAATCGTATAATTATTAAATTTAATAAATATATCAAGTTTTTAAGAATATTTTATTTAATTTTATAAAAATTATTGAAAAGTCATAATATTTTTAGAAAAGTTACATTTTAGTGTTATGATTTTTTTAACATAAAAGTTTCGATTATTTTAATTTGGTTTAAATTTTTTTAAAAAAATCATTTTTTTTCTTTTAACAGAAAATAACATATTATCTTGATTTTACAAATAATCAGGACTTTTATGTTAAAAAAATTATTAGAATTAAAGTGTAATCTTTTTGAAAAAAATTAAGATTTTTCTGACAATTTTTCCAATATTTAATATAAAAAAATTAATAAAAACTCAATTACTTTAGATCTTATCAGGAAATTTAAAAAAAAAAAAAAAAAAAAAAACCCAAAAAAATTTGTGTGTTGAAAAAAACCCGCGCTATAATATAAGGTGCACTTTGACAACTTATTTGGTGTCACGATTAACAAACACGTCTTCAATGTTTTCGTAACGGCTACACAACGTCGCATCATGACATGCCTTGAGGTGCAGCATGACTTGCTTTTCAGAACAATGATTATATCATATTATTTTTACAGTTTTTATATATTAAGTTTTATCATGATGTTATAGAAATTACACCTTTAGTCAGTATCATAAACGTTCAACTTTATTAAAATTTAACAAAAAAGATAAATCATGATAAAATACAATATTAGTTTGGAATTTAAGATAAATAATCTATAAAGAGAAAATTTTAAGGTATTTATCAAACTACTTATTCTAATTAAAACAAATAAAAGAAAATTAATTAAATAAAAAAAATAAGACTATCTTTATTCAGTTTGAAATAAAATACAAAATCTCTCTTGTTTATGATGAGTTTTATTGGTTACAAAAATCTTATTTTGTCGGAAAAACTTAAAACCCTAAGTTCACATGCAACCTAAAAAGATCTATGTTCTCACCAATATTTGTAATAAACAATTGAATATCAAGAAATTTAAAAGGATATTACTATTTTCGTAATTAAGAAAGGGATGTTAGAAATTATATACTTTTAATAAACTAGTATTCCTTCTTGATTGGTCTTTAGAAAGCAAGCACTAGAAGTCTTATGCCTTTGATGACTCACATCCAAACCCTAGCAATTGGAAGCTAAACAGTAGAGAGGAGGAGAAGGAATATTTTCGACCCTAATGATCTCTAAAACAATGGAATCGAAAATACAAACCCATAAGCGTTTATATAGGTGTTAGGGAAATTTTTAGATAAGGGAGGTTTCCTTTTAGATGATCATTACCACATTGCTTCCTTCCTAAAGCATTTTAAACTTCCTTGAAGCTAAAGAAAACATAGAGAATCTCACTCTAGAATCGTCCCCATCTCAAAGAGTTTTAGAATTGATCAATATTCAACTTTTGAACATACTCACATTTAGTCATTCTACTTTTAATTAATCCAATTAATCCCAAAATTAATTCCAATTAATTTCTGATTAATTCTTTATTAAAAAAATACTATTTCTAATTAATATATTATTCTCATAATATATTAATAAATCATTTATTTTGATTTCTAATTAATTTATTAGTCATATAACAAATTAATAAATCAGTCTCTCTTTCCAAAAAAATCAGTCAATTACTAGGTTTGTGAGCAATTCAAAAGGACTATGCTAATAATTTAGTTATTGGCTTAGACACCTAATCGAACATCCTACAAACTTATACCCCCCCCCCCCCTCACCGGCCGCCACCCTATTCTCCATTGCTTCTCCGACCACCGAGCTATCATGGTGGCTTCCGTCGTTGCTAAAGACGGAGACAATCGTGTGATGTCGTCATTCAACCGGTAATGAAGGGGAAACAGATCGTAATCACCATCTCCGGCCGTTAGAGCCATTGTTGCCGCCATGTCGCTGTTGTGGCCACCACTTCGCGACCGGTGTGCCACCACCATTACCGTATTTCTTTAGTCGACGATGTGTACGTTGTGTGAGTGTCACGTCCGTTAGAGAAGTCGAAAGTTGACGACAGAGCTGCCATCGCTGTTTCTCACTGCTCGTAGTCGTGGCTCCCCCGAGTGCCACCTTCTAGCCATTCCGACACCACCATTGTTGCCTAACGGCCGATGAAGAAAAAGGCTTCTGCTTCAATGTGATTAAGCTATCGAGATCACAATACTAGCCGTCACACCCACTGTTGGGGGCTGTTGAAGACGATGAGCCGCTGCCGCCTCCATCCGCCGTCTGTTGCCGCCTTCCTGACGCCACCAACCACCGTGGAAGGTGGTTGTGTGCATGTGCTGCCATGTGTTTAGGTGTGTGTTGTATGTAGTTTTGTTTGGATGGAAAATTGAGAAAATGACACCACCACCACTTACCACCACCAGCCACCACAAGGGTGGCCATGTGTGCGTATTTAGCATTATTGTGTGTGTGTGTTTGTTTTGGAATTTGGCATTTTAAATTGTAACAAAAAATGGAATAATGGAAAGAAAGTCAAAACCACCACCGTGAGGTGGTGGCTGCCGCCTCCTGCTGCCACCGGCCGCCGTGTCGGGTGGCGGTGTGCCTTGTTTGGTTTATGACTCGTTTGGATGTTTGGAGAAAGGGACTAATAAACTCAGTGGGCCTAATAGAACCCTAATGGGCCCAATAAAGCCCTAAATGGCGTAAAAGCCCAAACATGAGACTAAGGGGCCTAGTAAAGCCCTAATGGGTCTAATGAACCTTAATTGATCAAAAGACATATCTATTGGGCCTATTGGGCTAAGATAGGGTTGGAAACCCTAATTAGGGTTGGAAACCGTAATTAGGGTTTATAAAACCCTGATATTGGATTTATGGGCTTGTATTATGCCCAATCACACTGTATGATTTATTTATAAGATTGATGGACTTAATGGATTAAGTCCTTAATGGGTTTTGTGAGAAACACTTAACTCTAATCATCATTTTATGTGAAACCCTAATTTCGCTTGACTTTATTGTTGGGCCTTTTTATTGGGCCTTGATGATTGGGTTATTAATGGGCCATCCATGATCAAGCAAATGGACAAGAATAATTAATGGGCTTTGAGGTAAGACCCATATGAGGAGTTGGGCCCAATTTGGAAAATTGGCAATAGATGGGCCATAGTTTGGGCCTTTATGATTATGTGATATTGGGCCATTAGAATGTTGAATGTTAGTCTGGACTAAATTGTTGGGCCTTATGGTAAGACCTTATAAAGGTTTGGGCCAAATTTGGAAAATTGGGCTATGTGTTAGGCTTTGACCCATAGTTGACTTTTGGGCCTTTGGATTGGGCTTGGGCTTGAATTAAGCCAATATAAGGGTAAAGTAGTCTTCTACCCTAACATGGACTTATGGACATGTGTTGGAACCCAATTATTAATTTGGTGATGTTTGATATTGACATATTGAGAATCTATCATCCAGTAGTTGGGATTGTATCTACGGGTCTTCAGCAGTTTGAGGTGAGTTACCTTCTAGTAGAAGTGGGTCTAAGGAACCAAGGCCGACCCACTAGTATTTGATTTTAGTTGAGATTATTATCTTTGTGATAATTGTATGGTTTGCTACTACCTGGTATGTTTATGTGCTAGCATGATATGTTATATGTGATAGTGGCAGTAGGAGGGGACTAGTCCCCAAGTTCGGTTGTTAGGACCGAAGGGTAGGTCGGAAAGTTAATGTACAACCCATGTATATGAAATTAGTGTTTTCCGTTTTTCCATTTGCCATTTCTACCGTGAATGATTCTTCTAACATGCTAGGTTTACGTTTAAGTAAGTGAATAAAGTTTTGGCTCACAAAGCTTCTCTCTGCTCCGCTATCGAATAGGATGCATGCATATGAATTATCGAGAAGAAACGTACCAGCAACTACTGTAGGATCAGCTACGACTTCCTCGTGACCAATAGCTAATACTCGTCCCACTCCGCCAGTATTTGCTGCCTTTGGGAAGTTTCTTTTGTAGTGGCCCACCTCGCCACAACCGTAGCATGCTTGGCCTACACCAGCATCGGGAACTTAAGTGATCGGCTTTACGGGGGCCTTGCAGAAACGGACAGTGTGTCCCTTTCTGTTGCAGTTGGAGCACTGCATTTCCCGACAAGGTCCGTGGTGGTGGTAATTGCACTTGGTGCACTTTGGGAGGTTGCCCACATAAGGCTTTGTTGGGTAGTGATTTGAAGGAACGGTAATAGGTACCGTCGCAGAGTTTACGACAACCAGTTGTTGTTTCTTCGAGGATTCTTGGGAAGACCCACCCTTCCCCTTATTCCACCCTCTCTTGTTGTTGTTGTTGTTATTGTTGTTTCCCTTTTGTGGTTCTGGTGCAGAAGTTGTTGAGTTTTGATGATTTCCGTGATCAATAAGCGATTGTGCCAGCTCCTTGGCACTTTTAAAAGTGTTAGGTTTTGAAGCTAACACGCTTAACTGAATTTGGGGCGATAGTCCCCAAATGTATCGCTCTATTTTCTTTCTCTCGAGGGCAATCATATCTGGGCAAAGGATTGCCAGCTCGCAGAATCTGTTGGTATAAGTTGCTATGTCGGTACCAATCATTCCCAGAGTCCAGAGTTCGTGCTCGAGTTTTTGAATCTCTCCTCGTGGATAGTACTCCCTCATCAACATGATTTTCAAGCTCTCCCAGCTTATTGAGTTTGCCACTATCAGGGTAAGTACCTTAACGTGGCCATTCCACCAAGTTAAAGCCCTATCAGTAAGTGTGTGAGTTGCAAACTTGACCTTGCTGTGCTCTGGGCAGGAGCAGATTTCAAATACTGATTCCGTTCTTTCAATCCACTACCTTAAAATCATCACACCGCCCATTCCATTAAACATACGGGGGCTTAGCATTCGTAAAGTCTTTATAGGTGCACTCCTGGGCTTGCCCATGACTATCGCCATGGTTGGAAGGATGTATGGCAATTCCTGAACCAGTAGTAACAGGGGTATTGATCTGTGACATGGCAGCTGCTACAGCTGCGATGACTTCTGCCTGGAACATGACAACATCAAATTGAGGAGGTGGAGGTGGTGGTGGTATCGGTGCTTCCCCACCGTTGTTTCGTCTTGGATTTCTACGCGGAGGCATCCTTCAACTAAAGATTGAAAAGACAAGGGTAAGAAGTCCATAGTATAGAAAATGCATGTGTCTCATGAGCTAAATTGCTATAGTTCAACAACAGATGATAGTATGAGTCTCAAAGATAGAAGAGCAAAGGTTATTCGTAAATCCAAATATATGAACAAGCGTATGGTTTTTCTATAATATTTTAAAGATTGAACGAGATACTCAACATAGTAGTAATAGCGTGCGAATTATATTAATATAATAGATGATACAATGATCATAAAAATTTGACCCTTAAAAGGGTCTCCAATTACAAGAATTTAAAGGAAGTAAAAACTTTTAGCCGAAGTCTTATCTTATAACAAAATTTGAGGTTTTCGCAAGTGCTACTTGCGACGTGTGTTGCGCTTGGAGCTTGACTCCGCATCCGATTGCTTTGACTCCATAAGACGCCTATCGAAGGCAGCTTGTTGTTCCCTCAATTCTACGAGGGCTGCATTCATTTGTGTTTGGAATGCATCGGCGCGGAGGTGGGTGTCATTCTGCAACATATCCAGACGACGGATATCGGCCGTGTGGACTTGTACTTCCACGTTGACTTCGCGGATTCGGTTTGCTTGGACCCCCGATTGGTAGGACTGGTTGGCCAATTTACCTACCATCACCGGAAGTGCTCGGTCGGCTGAACCTCCATCCCTGATGTTGTAGAAATCTCGATACATACCGTAGGGAGAGCGTATCCCTTGTTGTTGGCTCCAGTGGACGAGGTGACTTCCCTAAACGGGAGTCGGTCCTTGGAAGTTCTTCCTAATGGCTGGAGGGTTGACTACTTCTGGTTCCGAGTCTGTACCAGAGTCGTCCCCTCCATCCAAATCGATAGGTTCTTCATCCTCTTCCGGATCCTCCTCTACCCATCCTTCGTTGCCTTGGTTCGGGTAGTAGGGGTCCCCATGCGGGTGAAATCCAGCCATTTGACTAAACGAGAATAGGGTTATAAGATTTGAACAAAACTTGAGACATGTAATACTAATTAATCTATTGTATGCACCAAATATTCCTATAGTATTTAAATTGTACGTTTGATACTAGTGTCGATTTTTGGTAAGTTTTGACTCGTTGTTCACTACGATCATTCCTCGATATACGCTAGTCTAATTTCGGACAAAACATAGTTGATCAGGCTATATTCATCCCAAATTTGATTACATATCTCGAGAACTAATCGTAGTGTCCAACTTGTCTTAATACTTTTGTATAGTTCTCATCATGAAAATATGTCGTTGTATGCATGTATTTTGGATTTTCATGACCTAAAATAATCTATTTAAATGAAATAAGGATTTTAGGTATGAAAACTTTTGTCAGAGACTTTGAGTCCCTAAGCATTTATAGTTTGTATATCTTATGAGGTTCGATATACTTAGTTCACTATAAACATTGCTCTGATACCAATTTGTCACACCCCCAAACCGGAACGGTGGAAACGTTCGGGGGCGGATGAGTTCATGCGGTAATGTAACAAATGAATACCTAGTAATGAAATCAATATAACCATCATATATATAATTGAAAGTTTACATTGTTTAAAAGTGTACATGTTCAAAACCAATTACAATATGATGTCAAAATATGAATTTAAACTAGTACCGCAACGTTCCTTCTTCAAAAGCTGTTTAGCTGTAATTACTGAATCCCTGGGACATACAAGTAGTTTTGAAAGAGTAGATCAGCATTTAAGCTGGTGAGTTTCATAAGCATTTAATGATAGTATTTGTATGAAAATGAAATGGTTCGTTTTTGTTCATTAGTCTCTAGAAAATCCCATATTTCCTACTAGTATAAATGTAGCCTTAAATCAAGACCAATATATGTTAA